CTGCTCAGCCTCCATGCATGTTTTTACGAAAGGTGGAATGAAAGAGGAAAATACATTGCACTATGGCCTTACCCTTGAAAACTGAGATATCAGAATGAAAACTGGTATTCACTTTCAGGACAGTTAAACACAATTCAAGTTCAAACATTATGTATATTCCCTGAACAATGTTAAGCAAAGGGGGGGAAATATGTAAAATATGTTGTAATGCAATATTTGAAACAAGGGGGCATTCTGATTTACTAACATAGTAGATGAGATTACATATGATTTATCTTGTTGTATTGATCCAGATATGCTACTTCTTCAGGGGATATCATTTAATGATATCTGTTAGAATACTTGAGAATACTTGCTTATGTCTGACCTGACAGGACTTCCTAAAAGGAAATTTTATCAACAGTAAGAAAGTGTTTCTGGCTTGAAGCCCATCTGCAATATCCTATACTAGCCGCCAGGCCCATTGCGAAGTCAATGCAAGACTCCGGGGCGAAGGCTGCGGAAGTCGCCGTCAGGACCCTCATTGTCCGGCATCTTGGTCCTGCTGGCATGGGCGTGCTGGTGGTGGGGCGGCCAGGCAGTCAGAGGCAGGTGTCCGGCTACCAGGTGTGGTGGGAGGAGCCCCCAATCTGTGGCGCGCTCCCCGTGGACTTGGCCTGCTCTTCCACGGCCGCCTTTCCTCCGGGGAGGTGTTGGCGGTGGCAGCACCGCTGCAGCCATGCTGGTCAGAGCTCAGCGGCTGCAAACATAAAGCACGGGGGGCTGAGCGTGGTGTGTGAGGCTTGCCGGCGGTGGAGAGGTCAGGTGGGTCAGGCGCACAGAGGTGAACGCGAGAGCGGAGTGGGCGCCGAGTCCGGTAAGCGGAGGCCGGTGAGGCCACGCTGCGGCATGGAGGTGAATGAGGCGTGCGGAGTGGCGGGGCCGCGGAGCAAAGTTTTGCGGGGCCGCCAGGAGGTGGTGCCCGGGTCTCCCTCCGGCTCGGCTGGCTGCTGCATTGGAGGCCCCGACCTTCCTGTTCCCACGACCCATACCCTGTCGGCCTCATCATGCAGGCTGCCGGCTAGCCGCTGTATTTCCCAGCTCCATGAGCGGCTTGGAGCAGCCTGCGGGCCAGCAGGCACCGTGGGGGCGTAGGCTGGGCGGCATGGTGGTGGGCCTCGGAGATGTCCACCCGCTGGAGCCTCCATCCCGGCCGGTGGCTCCCTGGAGACTGAGGGCGAGTTGGCGGGTCTGTGGGCAGGATAGAGGCGACGGAAGGACACAACGCAGCCAGGGGATTGGCCCCCCTCCTGAGCAACAGATCAGGAACCCAAAGTCTGAGGAGGCATGTGGAAGAGTTCACATGAAAACGCAAATATATATAAGGAGATATTGAAGAATTTCCCAGTTTTGTTTATTTGTCACTGAACTAGTACAGCCTCCTTTTTGGATGATCTGAAATTCTGTTGGTGAACTAGCTGCCCTACTGCACAAGAGAAGATATTTTTTTTCTGAATAAAGATTTTCACTGTGTCTGTCTCAGGTGCTGTTCCAGGGTTGTCAGTTGGATGAGACTAAAACAGAGAGTTTCCTGCAGCAAGTTTACAGACAGCTGTGTGTTTTTGAAAACAAAGTGGCTGAGATGCTCCAGCAACAGTATGAGCCCAGAACTCAGGTAAGAAGGCCATAGGACCTCTCTGTTGCATCAGTGTATGGGGAAAGTTGTCATGTTGGTATCCCTTTCAGCCTGTGGGCCTCTCTCTAATCTTGCTGGAAACCTATGCCTCAAAAAAGCATAGATAAAGAAAAGCTGAGCTTTAGTGGCTTTTATGTTTGTTTTATTTATTTTTACTTTATGTATACCCTGACTTTCTCCCTGATGGAGACGCAAAGTGGTATCCATTGTTCTGTCCTCTGTTTTATCTGCACAACACCCCATGAGGTAAGTTAGACTGAGAATGTGTGGCTGGCCCAAAGTCACCTAGCAGGCTTCCATGGCACAGTAGGGGGATTTTAACCGAGGTCTCCCAGATCCTATTCTGACACTAACCACTGGACAAAACTAGCTTTCACTTCTATATGGAGAGGGCTTGTAAAGATGATGGCCTTTGTATAGTATCTTTGTACACTGTATTATTTCTGGGTCCACAGGTAAAGACTGACTTAATGCGGAATGGCTTAAAATAGCTTTAATATGAACATCAACTAAAACACCTTGTACAGGTCTCTAAGCATTGCTGTAGGACAGATTCAAATCATGTGATCTTATGGCAAGTCCACAAATTACCAATTCCCTAATATTATTAAATATAAGGGAATCTCTAAATTGGGGTCTCCAACCTTATTTTATAAAATTTATTTATAGATTTTGACAGTATATTAGTACATATGGTAAGTACAAGGTTGAATCTAGTACATTATTTATCATCTAACCATGCATATGCCCTGTTCCATCTTCTCAAATACAGAACTTCATCTTTTTCTTGCATTATAATAGACAGTTTATCCATTTCTGCAATCTCTAGCAGCCTTTGTATTACATCATCTTTTGAAGGTATTCTTTCCGACTTCCATTGTTTAGCAAACAATATACGAGCAGATGTTAAAATATAAGTTATTACATATATATCCTCTTTCTTATAGTTTTCAGGCAATATGTTTAATAAGAAGATTTCTGGTAAATGTGGCAGATCTGTGTTTACTATCTCTAGTATTAATTTATGTATCTTATGCCAATATTTTTACGCTATTCCACACCTCCACCACATGTGATAGAATGTGCCTACGTTATGTTTACATTTCCACCAGGTTTTTTTATATATTTACATAACATTTAGCTAGCTTATCTAGTGACCAGTGCCACCTGTGGAACATTTTATAGAGGTTTTCTTTGTATGGGATTGCTCTCATAAATTTTGCTACTTTCCAGATTTTAGACCAGGATTCTATATCTATGTAGTGTTCTAAGTTCTGCATCCAGGTGATCATTGGTGTTTTCACCACTTTGTCTTGTAAATAATAATTAAGTAGAAAATTGTACAGTTTCTGAATCATTTTTTCGGTTATGGACAACCAAATCTTATCTAAATCACTTTTTGGACTACCTAAACCTATTTTTTTATCTTTATTGAATCTGGTATTTAGTTGTATGGTTTCCCACCAAGTTAATTTTATATATTGTGCCACAAGACTTTCCTGTGATTTTACTTGGTTATTTTTATCAAATAGCATTTCATAGTTCTCTATTTTATCCTTTGTCAACAACGTAGGTTTAATAAAAGCTTCCCATTTAGGAGTTTTATCATAGAAGCGTTCTTTTATTTCCTTCCAAATCTTTATTAAGGCTCCTCTTATGGTATGTTGTTGGAAATTTGACATTTTTCAGCCTTGCGGCTATTATAGATGCAAATATAATCTGCATTTAACAATGATACAGGCCTATAGTTCTTGATATCTTTCTCATCTGTGTTTGATTTATGGATTAATGTGATCAAAGCCTGGTTCCAGGTATTTGGAAGGTTTTCTGTTTTTGTGATGTTTTGTAACACTTCTTTTAGTGGTAACATTAGTTTAGCCTCAAATTTTTGATAGATCTCAGCCGGTAATCCATCAGGTCCTGGAGTCTTATTTCTCTTTTGTTTTTTAATGATTTCTGTAATCTCACAAATTGTAATTGGTTCATTTAATATCTCTTTCTGTTTTTTATTGAACTTTTTTGAGTTCCATGTCTGAAGATATTCTTTTATTGGTTGTGGCTTTTGTTTGTCTTGTTCATGTAGCTTTTTATAGAAATTTTCTATAATTAGCTTCAAATCTTGTTGGTTAAATTTTTCTTCACCTTTTTCATTTCATAGAGCCTTTATTACCTTTTTTTCGCTGTCTTTTCTTAATTTGTAAGATAGCCATCTAGATGGTTTATTTGCATTTTCAAAATAGTATTGTTTTGAGTATTCCATTTTTTTTTTGCAATTTCTTGCGTTAATAGTAAGTTCATTTGATGTTGTAATAACCTTAATTTTAATTTTGTTTCCTGTGAATCCTTGATTTTCCCCCCCAATTTATCCTCTTTTTAAATTTGTTTTCCCAAATTACGGTATTGAATTTTCTTTTGTTTCTTCTTCCAAGCATCTTGGTAATTAAGTAAAGGTAAAGGTTCCTTTGCTCGAAAGCCAACCAACCCCTTATAAAGGCTTTGAAAGTTTCCCAAACTATTTCTATTGATATATCTTGTTGGATATTCCTTTTAAAAAACTCTTGAATTTCTATTTTAGCTTTTACCACAAATTCTTGATCACGTAGTAGATTTTTATTCATAGACCACCTTGATTTTCTTAGTATTCCCTGTAGTGTAAGCATGAATGGACTATGGTCTGCAAATGTGTTCGGTAATATCGCAATCTCGATCATTTCATTAATCATAGATGTAGATATTCAGGCCATGTCTATTCGTGACCACAAGTTGTGTCTTGCAGAATAATAAGTAAAGTCTTTTTTACTAATATTCCTAACTCTCCAAACATCTATTATATTTTGTTCTTCAGCTAGATCGAGAAAAGCTTTCTTCAGGATATTTCCCAATTTCTTTCTTTTTTATTGGTTTTTCCTGTCTATTTCTTCATCAAACACTGCATTGTGGTCCCCCACAATGCATATCTCATAAGATTCATATTTAGCCAATATTTCTTGGATTGATTTATGGAATTTTTCCTGATTTTGGTTGGGAGCATAAATATTCACAATTAAGGTTTTTTGTTATGTCTTGTAATGGAAATTGCTACTATTCTTCTGTTGATGAATAAACTAATTCTGGGCATAAGTATTCCTTTGCATATGTGGCAACTCTTCTTTTCTTTTTTACATCTGCTGCAAGAAGCACTTTTCCTATTTTTTTGATGTTAAGTATTTTGAGTCTGTCTTCTTAATGTGTGTTGCTTGTATACATGTTACGTCTGTCTGAAGTTTAATTATTTGGTGAAAAGTACGTTTTCTTTTTTGTGGGCTATTAAGACCATTTACATTGACCGAAAGAATCTTAATTCTATTCTTTTTCTCCATTTTTATTGAAATTTCCCTTTGCCTTAATCTTATATCGATATCTAGTAAGGACTTGTAAGGGAGTTGTCTTTCTCCTCTTCAGCCCACCTTTCTTTTTTTCTTCTTCTGTTTTGGAACTCATGGTTTCTTCTCCCTTCTCGTTCTCTTCTTCTTCTCCTTGCCATCCCAAGTTTTCTCCATATCTTTCCAGAAAATCTTGCACTTTAAATATTGAGTCTATTTTATGTCTTTTACCTTGGAGGTTGAACAGCATTCCTTCTGGAAAAAGCCATCTAAAAATAATTCCATTTGACCTTAATAGGTTTGATAATATTGTATAGTTTTTTCGTTGTTCTCTCACTTTCCATGGTACATCTTTTAGAAATTTTTTTCTTTTTCTTGGATGATCAACTTGGTGTCACCTGAGGCTCTAAGTATTTTATCTCTCATGTTTAGTGTACTGCTGAATTTAACATGCACTTCTCTTGGAATTGTATTTCTTTTGGCATAGGAGGAATTTCTCCTATAGATTGCATCTATCTCCCATTCTGTTTCTTCATAGGATCCTGTTTTGAGTTGTTCTGTTAAATTTTGAATTAGAATTAGAAATGGACAAAGCTCTTTCTTTTAAATTTTTCACTATTGCTTCCGGTATGTTTTAGAATCTTAACACCAAAGAGGCTTTGTCCATTTCTAGATTCATCAGCGTCTCTTCTATTTTATCCGTTTTTATTTTTAATTCTTGGACTTCTTGATCTACTTCTTGTACTTTATCGTTTGTATTGCTATATGCTGTCGCACTTTTTAATATTTCATGTTTGTTTTCGATTATCTGTTTTTTTATGTCTTCTGTTTCTGATTTAATCTGTTGTGCTATTTCCTCCATTTTTGTTTGAATTGGCCCCATTTCTTGCTTAATCATTTCACCCATTTTTACTTGCATGGGTTCTATTTCTTTCTTAATTAGTTCTGGTACCATCGTGTCTAATGTAGTTTTCATAATCTGTCACATGCTTTCTTGCATAAAAGCTTTTAAGTCCTTCAAGGTCATTTGTGCCACTGTCATTGTGCTAGCTTTAAGGTGGCTTTGGATATTTGTTTGGCCTGGAGAAGTTACAAATCATTTCCTGGATCCAGTGTTTCCAGTAGCCATTTATATCTCTTACTGTTGCTGTGTACTATTACTATAGTACATATATACACTATTATTACTATTCCCAGAGTATTATCTGTTAATCTCCTTTTTAGTTTTCTATTGTTACTGCGCTACTATAAATCTTCATTTGTTTTTTGTTTAGATATTGTTTGGTTATTTTTAAGGGTTTACTGTTCCCTGGGTAGTATCTGTTGTCCTCCTTTTTAAATACCCTGGGCTTTTTTATCTGGTTTGTAGTGTGTACATAGTTATAAGATATTAATCAGGCAGTTCTGTCACAGTCCTGTTGGTCCTATTGGTTAGGCGTCATCTCTTGGCTCTTGTCACTCTGGTAGTCTGTTGTCTCCGTTCCGTCTCTCTTCAACTCGCTGGGTTTTCCTTCTCTCCCCACCATGTTTTGCATCTCTCCATGCCTCTTTCCTCACCCGGGACTTGCCGCGGTTTCGCTTTCCTTCCTCAGCGTCCCCGTCACCGCGTATGAAACA